GTCTGCCGGCTGGGGACGAGAAGGGAGAGAGCCTCACAGCCATTCCAGCCTCAGGGAACAGCCTGGCAAAGACGCTGTGGTCAAGGGAGGAGGCAGTGGTGAGAAAAGAGGTTCCTGAGGGAGCCTGGGGCCACGATGTGAAAAGTTCTTATACGTAAATTGCAAGCTTCCTGTCTATCCCTGGGGGTAATTAGCACAGTGTTTAATTCACAGAATGACTTGATTGATTTCTTTTTCCCCTTAGACACACATGCAGAAAATAAACTGTCACTCAGTTTCGGTTATCACAACTCTGTTTCTGATTCCCAGGTCTGCCTTTCCACTTCTCTTTTCTCTACCACGAGCCCCACGCGGCCAGATGCCTTTGTAGTTGAAATACTTATCGATTCCTACACCCCACTATTTCCCATTACCCCTCCACTCTTCCCTTAATCGGGCAGGGGTCCAGAGGATATTCTGTGCCTTAATAAGTGGAGGAAAAACTTCTGACACTTAGAAGTTCAGGCCCTGGAGGGACCCAGAGTACACAGAAAATAACAACAACAAAAAAATCGTGAGGTGTGCACCAGGGCGTTTTCCCACTTGTGAGCCGAGATGAAGATTTTCTGCTTTGGAAGGAGGAGGGTCCATGCTGGTTGGAAGTCAGTGATACAAATCACTAGTATGTCCCTCCACTCCCTGAGAAGGGAGGCGTGCACTCTGCCTGCCTCTTCTAACTTGGCCTGGGTGGGGAGGGTGTAGCTTAGTGGTAGAGTGCATGCCTACCATAGACAAGGTCCTGGGTTCAATTCCCCAGTACTTCCATTAAAAAAATAAATAAATAAACCTAATTATCTCCCCACCGACAAAATTTTAAAAAGATCAAATTTCTAACTTGGCCTGGGTGTTAGAAGGAGCACCCTTGAGCCTGAGAAGCACAGAGAAGAGTCAAGGGACGAGAGACAACTCGGCCGTGAGCTGTGCAGATGGAAGGCTGAGTACAAGATGGCTCTCTGTGAGCCTTCCAGGACTTAATTCAGTCCTAAGGGAAAGTCAGGGTTCCCCCTAAATTTCTGTCACCCTGAGGAATTAGGACTTATAGAAAAGTAAACTTTTTTTTTAACACATCTGGGGTTTGAGGCTAACCCCAACACCTACCTAAAAAATTTAACTACAGGGTAGAGAGGTGGTATAGTTCAGTGGTGGCGCACATGCTTAGCGTGCATGAGGTCCTGGGTTCAATCCTTAGCACCTCCATTTAGAGAAAAAGGATTTTTTTAGTTTAACTGTAGTAAATTTTAAACTCACTATATGTCACTTTTATTTCAATGAATGTTTCTTGGGCACCTCCTAATTGCAAGGCACCCAAAGAAGTCCAGGGGAGGAAGAGTGACTTACACTCAAGCATGTCCAGACTGAAAGTAATGAGCAACAAGAAGAGACACTCCTGCACTCTGACTGGCAGGAGGGCAAACGCTCACGGAAGGGGCTGGCACTGGCCCAGAACTAGGGGCACGGGTAGGAAATTGAGAGGGAGACAGCAGTGGTTTCTGACTGTTGAAGAAGTTGGTGGAGCTTAGAGCACAAGGCGGGAGGAAAGGTCCACAGGGGACTAGCTGTCCGAGAGCCTAGCCTCACTCTTGCTGCACTGACACCTCTGTTCTCTGAATCCTTAGGGTCACGTTTTGATGCTTTCCTCCCCTCCCTTCTCAGGGCCCATACTTCTGAGTCTTTTTGTACTTAAGTTTCATAGAACTAGAATAATAGCAATAAACATAAAATATTTTAAAATAATATCAACTACCATTTAGGGATTTGGCATAATATTAAGCTCTTAACCTCAATTGTCTGATTTATCCTTACAATAGGAATGATTATCCCTTACGGGAGCTTTAGCTCATAAGGGAGTATTACCTTCTCTTTTCCAACCTACATCCTAATGGTGTCTCAATAACTGCTAGACATTTTCCGAGATGTTCTGTGTCATCCAAACCGTTTTGTGTGTGTGTGTGTGTCATTTACATATTGTTTTCTTAACCAAAATAATGTTAAACTAAGCCTCTAAAGGGATCTTTAAAATTTCTTCCTGCTCTCCACCCAGCTATTATAATTTCGTATTTCTCTTCCTCAATATGATTTCACAAATTGTTCAAGAACCTCCTAACCCCATCCTGTGTGCCTCTTACCAGTTGCTTCCTCCTCTAGGATTTCCACTCAAGCTGTTTTCTCTTCCCTCTTGCTGGAAGACTCTCCCTGACCTCTGTCCCCCTTGCAAAACCTGTTCATTAAATCATACACATTCTTCAAGACCAGGCTAATATGCTGCCTCCTACAGAGAGCCTTCTGGAAGTCTCCCCATCAGAATAACTCATTTTCCTCTCCATCCCTGCAAGCATTGCTTCCGTGTCTTTATGTGGTTGTATTTACGTCCTATGTGTACATATTTTTCTTCCTCTTCCACTGAATTGTGGGCCCACATCTTATACTTCTTGTGTGTCTGATGCATCTGCATTGTTCACATGTCAGAATTTTACTCATATGAGTATTTCTTGAATTGATTCAGATAGAAACCAATGCAGGTTTCCCATCAAGTATTCAGGGCCTGCCCTTCCCATATTCTGTTCCTCCATCATATACGCTAGATTTTGTGAGGCCACGATCATTAACACAATCATTTCCCCTTCTGCTGGTCATTTTCTCCTAAAACGGAGGCGGAAGGGACTAGATGAGCATCTGGCTGCCAGAACTGCCCTGGGCCTGCCCGGGTCCTCACTGGGTGTGTGTGGAGGTCCAGGCGCGTGGGGTGCTCTAGACTTCCAACTATTGGAGTAGCCTCCTCTGGGGGAACCCTGATGCTGGGAGCAACTGTGGTTTCAGAGAGCTGAGATCACTGCGGCTGGAAGCCTGGAAAATACTCCAAAGTCAGACTCAGATTCCCGCAGATTTTCGAAAGAAAGGAAAAGAGAAATTGCAGAGATAGAGAGGACTCATGATTTCTTTTTCAAATTTTCAAAAATTTGCTTTTCAAAAAAAATTTGCTTTTCAAAAATTTGCTGATTTCCTTTTCAAATGGATGGAGAGGGGTTAACAAAGAGGAAACGTCCCTGTGTCAGTTAAGTCGTATGTGAGCAAATCACTGAATTTCTCTTTAAAAGAGGTCTGTCCAAATGTGCTTTAAAATGTCCACAAGCGGGAAAGACAGAGTTCTTTTAATAAGAGATCATTGTCCCACGTCTGACCTCAGCAATGGACAAATTAGATGCCAGAGAAACCAAATGCAACCATAAGCTGAGTATATCTTGTGTGCAAAATCTTCAAAGCTTGTATTTAAGAAGTTCGTAAGTAGTTTGGGGCTGAAGGTTAAGGGTTAGCACTTGGGAAGGGTGCTCACAATGTCTTACTCCACCTTCTATAATACAGACAATTAAACATAAAGATTAGTTTGCAAGAACGAGAGGAATCCAATGTCTTCATTCCCAGAGAGAGATTATAGGGAATGTGTGGCCTGTCTTTAATTCTTTATTTATCAGGAACAAAAAAAAAAAACCCGTAGGCATTTTAACTACTCAGACTAACAAAATAAAAGCAAGAAAAACAAACAGCAAGAATATATCATGCAGTCCAACTTTCTCATTTTGTTGATGAGAAAAAAAATGAGTCCCTAGATGGTTGAATGACTTGCTCAAGATCATCAAAGACGTCGATTTAAACTCATAAACTCAGAGAGGCCAAAGGGAAATAATGTCAAGATATTAAATGATTCTTACATATCAAAAACACGAGGGATGGGAGATTCCCCTTGCCCAGTCTCCATGGCTTTGGCCACCCTGCCAAACGGGAAGAGGTTTGAACTCCACATCTGGTTGTCCATGTGCCCCAGGCTGGGGAGGTCAGCCAGTGAGTCAGTTTCCAAATCATACTGGCTTTTAGAAAACAGGATGAGACCAGAAAGAAGAGAGGGAGGGACAGCACCCTGAAGCCTTTTAAAAGCTCTCCACAAAAGGCAAAGAGTTCTCCTCGACCAATCCTGACCCCAACCGACCTCATGACCTGGTTACCTAGGGTCAGCTTAACACTTTAGAAATGGTCCTGGCTGGCTCTGTAACCTCTGTCACTCACAACTAACAAATATGTCTTTATAGGGGTCACCTTTTGGCCAGAAACTGGCAGATTCTTTCCTTTCAATTCACATATTATGCAAAAGTCTCTCTGGTTTCTATTTAGAAATTCAAGCAGTCTAATTTGAAACCTTTTTCACTAACACAGGATACTCAATAATTGTCACTGACATAAAAATCTCTACAGTGTCTACATTAATACACAGTTTGGAAAACTCAGTACGTTTCATAGGGACACTCAGAGAACAAACATAGTGTATGTCCCTGTAAACTTTCATGCTTCTATGCAAGACAGAGAGAACACAGGATGGCTAGAATCTGAAATTTTAGGGGTCCAAACCAGTCTTGTCTTTGGAGGAATTGTCAACAGTGTCTCTGGTGCATAGAGACGCTTAGAGAAAAAGAAAGGGGGCCTAAGTAAGCAATCTTCAGTTATTCTCACCACGCAGTCAAATGTTGAAAGATCAAGAATGACCTGTTTAGAATGAGGGGTCTCCGTGTGCAAATAGACAATTAAAAAGACTGCAGGTATTCAGCATGGTTTCAATTTTAATTGTTTCAATTTTATTCAAGGCAGGAGAGCAATCAAAAGCTACACCTAGTCCCCAGCCTTCAAGTTCCTTACTTTAGTATAAAGATATTTTCTCACTCAAGGGATTTGCCATCACAAGATTCTCTCTGGCTAGTTTTCCAGTTCAAGTAAGGTGCCTTCCAAATTCACCAAGTCTTCCTTATAAGAGTGGACTTGGCTCCCAAGTTCTGGTCCTCGGGCCTTTTTTCCTTAACTAACTTTCATCCAACCACAGTGTGCTGGATGTTAGGGATTCAGAACTAAATAAGCATAACTCCTGACCTCAACAAAGTCAAAACGAGGGAAAAGGAAACTGACTTACAAGCAAATGAGTGAAAGGAAGAGTGGTGTGAGTCAGCAGGGAGCAGAGAACACACACAGGAGTGTGATGGGGGTAGGGAGGTGGGCAGTGTGGTAGCTTGCCTCCAGTAGGGCCCCCCATTAGCCTCACCCTCTGCACGGGGCATTCACCTACTATACCGGTAACTCCCATCCTGTGTGGTCTCTCTGACATTGTACCAGTTAATCTCTACGATCTATAGAATAAAGTGGAAGTGTCAGTGTGTGACTTCTGAGGCTAGGTCATGGAAGAACTTGCTGCTTCTGCTTGGCTCTCTTGAATCACTCACTCTAAGGGAAGTCATTAGTCATGTCTTGAGGACTTGCAAGCAGCAGAAGAGTCTTAAATGGGAAGAAACTGAGGCCTTTCACCAAGAACCAGCATCAACTTGGTGAGTCTCCTGGGAAGTACATCCTCCAAGTTCAGCTGACAACCTGATAGCAACCTGATGAGAGACCCTGAGTGAAGATGCTCCTGAATTTCTGATCCACTGGAACAGGCAGAATAATGACTCCCTCTCCAAGATGTCCATGTCATAATCCCCAGAACCTGTGACTATGGGATGTTACATAGCGAAGGGGAATCAAGGTAGCAGATGAAATTAAGTTTGTTCATCATCTGACCTTGAAACAATATCCTGGGCTATCCATGCGGGCCCAATGCAATCACAAATCTCCTTAAATGTGGAAGAGGAAAGGACAAGAGGTCAGAGTGAAGCCCTGCGAGAACTTGGCCACCATTGCTGGCTTTGAAGATGGAGAAAATGGCATGAGAAAAGGAATGTGGAGGTCTCCAGAATCTGGAAAGTGCAAGAAAAAAGACTTGCTGGAGCCTCCAGAAAGGAAGGCAGCCCTGCTGACACCCGGGTGTTAGCCCAGGGAGACCTGTATCAGACTTCTGACCTACAGAGCTGGAAGATGATCGGTCTGTTGTTCTAGGTCACTGTGCTTATGGGAATTTGTTGCAACGGTCATAGAAAAATAACACATTGACAGAAACTATAAGGATAAAAAATGGTTACTGTTATTTTTGGACGCTAAATTGGGGGTAATTTGCTATGCACCAATAGATAACCAGTACAGATTTTGTTACCTAAGAGTGGGCTGCTGCCAAAACAAACAAACAAATAAAATAAACAAACAAACAAACAAACTTAGAATATGAGAGAAATTTGGGGCCAGACAATGGGAAGAAACTGGAAGGACTTTAAAGAGAGCACTAGTAAAAGCCTAAAGGGCTTTGAAGAGACAGCCCGTTGAAGCCTGGTGGCCTTTGAGAAAGCTGACACTGAGGTCTCAGAGGAATGTTAGGAAAATTTTATTAGAAACTGGAGGAAAGTCGATCCTGGTTATGTTGTAGTAATAGAAAAGTAATAAATGTATCTAATGAATTAAGTATCTCACTGAAGAGATTTCCAGACTAAGTGTTTCAGGTGCCACTGAAAATGTGAAACAGGGGCCTACCAGAACAGCACGCAGAAACCAAACTTGATCAATTCATGTTGCTCAGCACCTTCCTTATATGAAGAACCTTCCTATCAGGTCACAGTGGCTGCAAACATCTAACAAATTATTTTAGACTCAAGTTAGTCAAATTCTTATAAGCCAAGGTGACTGTCATATGCACCACCAATATCTAGAGGAGATGCATATAAGTACACGCTACAAATCGGTGTGTAACCCTATTTGGTAGGGCAGGCGGATTTGAAGTTTCTTGGTCATTACAGACATGGAACTGGATACCTGTGCATTGATTCCAATAGTTCACATGGAGGAAAGCTTGCATCAGATATTTTTCTGACCTTTTGTAAGACCAGAATCCTCATTGTGTTCACTGAGCACAAAATCAGAGCTCTTTTGGAATGTTAAATGCTTGACAGGACATGGAGCTCGGTAGTACATTTTATATGCAAATATAATACAGTTTACATTTGTTGAGCATTTATTTGATGTGCCAGACACTCTGCCAAACTGTTTATATGTATTATCTCATTTAGTCTTTGTATCAATACTGTGATATAGGTACTAATTATTATCTATATATCACAGGTAGGGAAACTGTAGTTCAGGGGATTAAACGACTTGCCCAATATCATGAAACTAGATGAATGAAGGGAAAAAAAATTGAAATCAATTAGCCAGAATCAAGAGTAAAGAATTCACTCTTGATAACTACAATGACTATAAAGATAAAAATGGAAATTTGGAAGGAAAACTTCATGTATACAGCTAGTTCCAAATCAAGTAATGTTTAGTAGTTAAAATGAGCATTTTTTTTGCCAGTGTAGTCTAAGATTTGGATTTCTCTTGAAGTAAAGGAAGGAAGGAAGGAAGGAAGGAAGGAAGGAAGGAAGGAAGGAAGGAAAAACTATTAGGCAAAAATAATTTAGTGAAAGATGTGGGTTTAACAAATTTTGAATTTTTGTTTTGCTCTTATGAGCATTCACAGAATAATTTAGAAAGCCATGGGAGCAAATCTTAAACTTAAGACTGAGGCAAGAAATATATTTCTATTCTTAGAGTGGATGGGAGACCAAAAGGTATTTATCTGGTGGTGAAATCAGAGACTGGCATTGAAAGTGGAGGATTCATTGCTTAATCCTCTCTCAGCAAGTTGGGCCCTTCCAGACCCATGAAGTTAGACCTATTTTTCACCTTAGTACACAAAGTATGACATTTTGTTTTAATTTCTAAAATATTAGCCCAGTTCCTCTCACAGATTACTCATTCTTTGTCTTTTTCTCTCCTTGGATTTTCCATTTCCAAATCTAATTCATCTGCCTCACTTTTTACATTCTTGAACAGACAGCCTTTTTTCATTAACCTGTTCTTTTAATTTATCTAGAGCAATGAAGATGCTAAACTGATCCTTGATCAAAGAAAATCACCCTTCTACCTGTCATTTCTTTAAGAAATACAAAAAAGAAAAAAATATATCAAATGAGTTTTTAGTCACTGCTTTTGTGATGAACATTTAAAAAATATTATAAAATAGCTGGTAAAATATTGTATGAGGTCAAGTTTGTAAAAACTCTTAAACTATAAAAGTTACAAAAAGGAAGGCAATACTATATGGTACTAGTTTACTTTTTAGAAAAGAACACTGCTTTTGAAATTTCTTTCATATTATAAATTTTTTAAGTTGGGTTAAGTTAGGCAAACAACCAAAAGTAACTATTAAAATACAATTTTCTCTCTAATTTTTCTGAAATCATGATCAGGCAACATTGCAGGCTGATAAAAGTCAATAAAATTATTTTTTCTCTCAAGAAATTTAAAACTGTGAAAGAGCCCACTGGTTGTTGGAATGATAAATGAGAAATAACCCATGCCAAATATAAACTGGTGCAGCCACTATGGAAAACAGTAAGGAAATTCCTTAAAAAACTAAAACTAGAGTTACCATATGATCCAGCAATCCCACTCCTGGGCATATATCCAGAGAAAACTCTAGTTCGAAAAGATACATGGACCCCAGGGTTCATAGCAGCACTATTTACAATAGCCAAAACATGAGAGCAACCTAAGTGTCCACTGACAGATGAATGAATAAAGAAGACGTGATACACACACACACACACACACACACAATGGAATATTACTCAGCTATAAAAAGAATGACATATTGTCATTGGTAGTAACATGAAAGGACCTAGAGATTATCATACTGAATAAAATAAGTCAGACAGAGAAAGACAATATTATATGATATCACTTACATGTGGAATCTAAAAAAATAATAAAAGTGAATTTATTTACAAACAGAAACAGACTCACAGACAAAGAAAACAAATGTATGGTTACCAGAGAGGAAAGGAAGGGGAGGGGTAAATTAGGAGTATGGCATTAACAGATCCACAGTAATGTATATAAAATAGATAAACAACAAGTATTTACCGTATAGCACAGGGAACTATAGTCAATATTTTATAACAATCTATAATGGAAGAAAATCTGAAAAAGAATATATATATATATATATACACACATATATATCTGAATCACTTTGCTGTACTCCTGAAATTAACACAATATTGTAAATCAACTATACTTCAATAAAAGTGAATAACCTACACCGTGGCATGTGATGGTGAAATTTCAGAGCACCTTGGATAAAGAGATAATCCTAAAGACATTCAGAGAGAAAAATCAAGCCATGTTCAAAGCATTGGGAATCAGAACGATTTAAAGGACTCTTCAACACAAAATAATGCCAGAAGAGAGTGAAAGCCTTTAAAATTTCGAAGAATGGTCATTTTCAATTAAGAATATGTTATCTCAGCCACACTGTCAATCAAGAATAAGAGTGGGAAAAAAGGCATTTTTGGATATTCGAGGACTCAAATAATACCTCCCAAACACCCTTTCTTGGAGATCTACTTCAGGGTATGCTTTAGCAAAATAAAGGAATTAGCTAGAAAGAAGACACAGGATCCAGGAAACATGAGTCCAACTCTGGAGAACAAGACAGGGAAGTCCCAGAACAAGAGCTTTGCAGCAGCTGATAGGAACACCAGCCCAGACTGCACGAGGGAGATGGAGGCTCTGGTCGGGGGAGGGGTGCACAGACCTGCTCGTTGTTATCATGAGTCTTTGTGTACATGTGTTACTTTAATGATATGTAAATTAATATTTTGAATTCTATCCTGTCTTGAATCATCCTGTCCACCACTTAAACACATCCCTACCCAGCCCAGTCCCCCAGCACTGTGTACATACCGCTGTTACAGCAGGCACCACGGAGTCTTATCAGCATCTGTTTATATGTCTGTCTCCACAGTTATGATGTGAGTTTTATGAGGGTTAGAGCTGCATGATTTCATCTTGGTTTTCTCAGCATCCAGCAGAGTGCCTGAGTATGTGTTTGCCCCATTAAACCAAATACTGTTTGTTAGCTGCTTGAAGGAAATTCTTCCAAAAAGGCATTTTATATTGACCTGATAGAATTTCAAATCAGAGAAAAAGTCTATTTCACACAATTAGCATTCTCCTGACATTAATATTAAACTATGAGCAGATGAAATGATTATGTCTACAAAATGCACTAATGCACTCATTGACTAGATGTATCCACTTTCTGCCAGAAAAGTCTTCGGCTTGCTGTAAGCCAGATGAAGTCCTCTAGTGGGAGAGAGAGGAAGTAAATAGAGCACAATAAATATATGTGATGATGCTGTGCTGGGTAAGGGGACAGAGGGTGACAGTGGGGGAGAGTGGGGGACTCTAGGTGGGGAGAGGCCAGGGAGGGCCTTCCTTTATCCCTGTTCTTTCTCTGCCTCCTTCCACCCTATAAGATAATGAAGCAGTCTTAGAAGACACATAGTGAGATTTCAGTCAGGACTCCTCCAAGCTAAGTCAGATTCCTCAAGTAGAGATGGAGGAAGAGAGGGCAGCTCCTCCCCCACTCCCTCCATTCAAGGTGATAAAGCAGAACAACCTCTGTGGGACTCAGAAAAGGGTTTCTTGCAATCTTGCGGCTATGAAAGGGCCACTCGGACATTTTTGAAGAAATTAACGTGTCTTCACTGGTGCAAGAGCTTTGAACTGAAAGCAAGTACCCAGGGTACCATTTCACATGAGCTGCTGCCTTTCAGTGATAAACGGGTTTTGACTGGTACAAATGGGAATATGATTGCTGAGCGGAATATGATTGCACACCTAAGGGAAGTGTTCAGAATCAAGCTGTAAAATTAAAATCTCTTCTAATTCCTAAAACTTTCGTAATTGTGGAGGATCAGTTTTCGTCAGCATGTGTAATAAGTCATCCCTACCACTCCTAAAATATATAGTCATACATTTTCATTTTGGAAAATGAAAACATATCAGACTACTCAACTCACAGTTATCATTAAAAATGCTACAGGAGAATGTTGCTCTACATTGTAAAATGAGTCTTTACTGGTAGACACTATTTTTTAAAAGCAAATATAAATATAAAGCAACTACTAACCTGCTAAGTCATCAGTCTTAGTTATTTTAATAAGAAATTTGAACTTGCAGAGTATAAATTCTCTGCAAAATGCCAGCCAAAGCAACTGCATTCTATTTGTATGGTTATATATGTCCCTACATTCATTTACCTTTCCTCCTCTGACTGTTATAGTCTTGCAGTGATCCAAAAATATTTTACCATCTTACACTAACTTTAAAGATACTACGTCTGTAATCAGTGAGACTATTCTCCCCTAATCACCTTCACATAGCATCCATCCCTCACCAGCGATAGCCGTACAATCTGCAAACTAGAGAAATCTATCTGCATGTTTGTCAGCTGAAAGAATGTGTGCTTAGTGTCAAGGATCTACAGGTTTATGGGCTCCTAGATAGAGATGGTGAACCATGTGGACACAGTCACCCAGCAGACAGTAAACAGCAGTTACTAAATCCCACTAGTGCTATTATGTACGGCGGATAGGAGCAGGAGTAAGAACCAGCCAATATAAAGTGACAGGCTTGAAAGTTCCCATTGATATAAAATGCATTTTCAATGAGGCATTAAATACTTACCCATTTATAGAGGTCTTTGAGGGGCTGATCAAGAAAATTATTGGTTCATAAAACGTAACTCAGTAAACTATGGGCTAGAAATTGCCACTATCTCTCTCTCTCTTTGTGTGTGTCATCAGCATTTCCCACAGCAGGGAGTGGAGAGAGCTTGGTGCTCTCCTAGCTTGAGGCTCAAAACACTGGCCAGATGAACTGGGGGTGGGGTGGATGCAATTCAGAGGCTTTTAATTGTACACTCTGTTCCTATCCCGACTTCCACATCAGCTCCACCACACACATACCAACTACTGACCTCAGACTATCAGCACCACTTCATTCATCAGGAGACAAAGTGAATGGCAGTTTATTCCTCCCTTGGAAAATTTGGGGACCTCCTGGTTCACTGTGTGCAAAGCACTTTGCTAGGTGCTATGTAAAGGTGTTGGGGCATGGTGCACTATTTGAGGACAGTCATAAAAGATTTATGAATGTACTAAATGAAAGCTTAGTGTGGGTGTGTCTAGAAATGGAGTGCCGAAGTCCCTTTAGACCCCTGGAGTGCCTCTAATGAAGCATGAAGGTGTTGGGGCCAATATCTTAGTACACAGCGTTCCCTCCCACCACCACCTCCACTTTTCTCTTCTGATCCACCAAACAGAGCCTGAGTAAGAACATGTATCTCTTTAGTGGTCCAAGACCTGCAGCAGGATGCGCTGGAAGATGGGGGGTTTCTAAATCCCCTAGTTTTATTGTCAATTTATTCCCCAACTTTAAGTTCTTTGATCTAAACATTTTTCTCCCCACCTCTTCCCATTGATCTCACTTTACAGATCTTCAATTCTCTTCAGCATCCTCAAACTTGCCATTTCCTGATTGTTTTTCTTTCTTCCCCTTGAGCTGTATTGAGCAGAGCTGGACAGAGAGCTCTTGCATGAAGATAAGCTCATTGCTGAGGAGGAGGGGATGATTAACTCGCAGGTGTTAGAATTTATCCCACTGCCATGTGTTCACCCACACGCACATTTTGCTTGCTATTTCTTAGACACGTTGTAGCAAAACCCCTGAAACAAAAGTTTGGTTGAGTGTCGCTTAATATACTAATGTAGTAAAATCAGCATAAAATTAGAAAAAGGAAGAGTTTAGTTGATGTTAAATCTTATCTACTATAGACTTTCAAACATGATCAAAGACAAATATGAATCCAATGATAAAGCCACTCTTGGTGTGGTTTAAGGAAACAAATACACACAAAGCAATAAAGCATGGATCAGACAAGCCCAAGTTTGAAATCTGCATTATCACTTATGGGCTGTATAACCCCTGAGTAAGTTTTTTAACCTCTCCAAGCCTGTGTCCTCCTCTGTAGAAAGGATTAGCTATTGCTGTTGCTGATATATTATTTCGGCTTCCAAACATTTACCCTCTTGGTTATTCTCTGCCAGCATTCTAGACCTTGCCTCTTAAAATGTGGAATTCAGAAACGACTATAATACACTAGACCTCGTATGACCAAAATGACTTATGAGACTGAACTATCTTTGTCCTGGACAACATGCATCTATGAACACAACACAGATGCATTAGCATGATGGCCACCACATGCATTGCTGCCTTATTTATGATCAGTATCTACAGGCCACTTTCTCTCAAACTGCAGATAAGCCAGGTTTCTCCATGACCAACCCTGACTCCTATCCATCAAATGCAATTAAATTAACCAAAAAGTATGAGTTTATGTTTATCTCAGTTAAATTCCAAGCTATTTGAAAAATAAGGGAGACATTTCTCACTTATCACACAGCCCAGCTACACCAATTGTCTGTGGTTTACTGGTCCAGGCAAAGCAGAAAAAAAAGTGGTGGTCTCGGGTGGACTGGGATAGGAGAAAGGAGAGTGTTTCAGCAAGAACCATAGAGTTGTGTTATTTCAGAGCTTAAGAAATAGAGAAAAAACTCTCAGCTAGTAAAAATTATCTTGTTAGATCTATTAGGAGTTCTCACTGACCACCTCCCGCTATCACTTCTTTCTTCCCTCCCTTCCCACTTCATCCCACTATAGGAGTGTAAATTGCTCCTAATATTGTGTCCTCAAATTATCATGAACATTGCAGACTTTATCACAATATTCAGTATCAGCATATTTTTCTGAGCTCTGTATCTGCAGCATCTATCAGTGCCTTTAACACATTGGATGCTCAGTTGTTTGTTGAATGAGTGAATGGGGCCAGCCCTCACCAGTGCCCCACAACTCTTCCCAGTGCTGGTGTATATCCAAGGGGATGTCCAGTGCTCTTGGCCTCAGTTCTAAAATATCCTGTGCTCTCGTCTGCTACAAACCCTTGATCACCTTCCCTCTCCTGCCCCAGAACAACCCCTTCAGTTCTGGTAGCTGATGAGTTACTTCTGGCTCCTGTTTCCTAAGTTTTTTCAGTTCCCCTGGAAATTGTGTACCAGTAACAAATCCTCACTTTGATAGTCCCCCAGGGCCTCTCTTCTGAGTTTCTACCTTTCAAGACGACTACTAGGAGTGGGAAAAAAAATTCTCATTCTATCATGCAACATGTTAGTTATGCATTGTGTTACATGCAAATTAAGATAAGTGTGCCCACTGTATTTTAATCCAGACCAGTGGTAATAAATGTAGACTAGACAAGATCAACTCCAAGTACAGGACTTTGCCCTGCTCTCCCAGAGAATCTTCTGTCAATTGCTTTCCATCAACTTAATCAGTATTTCAGGATGGTAATTCATCATTTCTTCAGTCAACAAATACCTATTCAGTTCCTCTTAACTACAAGGCAGTGTCCTTCTCATTATGGAGAACACAAGATGAATCAGACATGATTTGTGCCCACGAAATGCTAACGGTAAAATATGTGTAAGTTACGTGTTATAAAGAATACTATAAGGTTTTAGATGAAATAACACCTGTGCTGCCCCTAAAAATACAGATAATATTTGGAAAAGTCTCAATTTTGCAGCATGCAACTGAAGGGTAAAGAAAGTAACCCAGAAGACATCTGCAAAGGCTCAGAGTCAGGACAACTCAAACGCTATTGGGCAATTAGCAGGTGGTTCACTTTGGCCCGAGTGTCAAATACATTCAGGAACATATTGACAGTAAAGTTGTAATGGTAAATCAAGGCCAGGTTGGGGAGACAATAGGATTAAGGAGTTTGTTGTTTAATAAACACTTTTGGCATTTTACAGGCCATGAGGGAGAAGTGAAAGTTTTTTGATCAGAAGAAAAACTTGATCACAGGCAAATGAACCTTGTAGTCACTATGAAAATGGACTGGAGCATGGAAAGACTGGAATCTTTAGGGGGAAGTCTGTTGAGAGCCCTTTCTAATGCGATGGCCCAGGTGAGAGCTGGAACATGGGCAGTGGCAGGAGATAGTGAGTGTAGAACAGATTTTAAAAGATTTCAGAGAGAGAATATGAAAACGAATATATGTATGTGTGTGTATGACTGGGACATTATGCTGTACACCAGAAATTGAAACACTGTAATTGACTATACTTCAATTAAAAAAAAAGATTTCAGAAAGAAACTTGGCAACGTGGAGCCCTTGAACAAGAGTGAGTAGATGTTTAAATCAAATGTTATTTTGCATAACCCCTTTAACATCGAATCAACATTTCTTTATAAGAATATCATGAGATGTAGATGGTCAAATGTCTTGTTGGAATCAAGATGTGTTTTGCTCTTCCATTTTCTTGACCTACCTTGATCTTCTTAGTAAATATGAGCTTTCGCTTTGTCAATATCAGCACTGCCCTTGGCATGCATTTATAACCCACTTTCTAAGAATTGTGGTTAAAAAAAAAGCATACAATGTAAATTTACTCAACAATTTTAAGTGTGCAGTACAGTATTAACAATATGCATATTATTGTACAACAGATCTCTAGGTCTTTTTCACACTGCACAACTGAAACTCCATACCCATTCAGGCACAACTCCCCATTTCCTTCTCCCTCCAGCCCCTGGCAACCACCATTCTACTTTCTGTTTCTATGAGTTTGATTAGCTTAGATACCTCCTATTAGTGTAATCATGCATTATATATCTTTTTGCAATTGACTTATTTCACTTAGCATAACTCCTTCCAGGTTTATCCATGTTCTGGAATATAAAAAGACTTCCCCCTTTTTAGGGCTGAGTAGTATTTCACCATATGTTTGTGAGATATATATATATGTATATTTCTTCATTTATCCATTTGTCTGTTGATGGATATTTAGATTGCTTCCACATCTTGGCTATTATCAATAATGTTGTGATGAACATGGATTTGCAAATATCTCTTCAAGACCCTATTTTCAATTATGTATACCCAGATGTGGAATTGCTATGCCGTGTTATAGTTCTATTATAATTTTTTGAGGATCTGCCATACTGTTTTCCATAGCAGCTGCACTGTTCTTCAATTCCATGAAAACTTACCACCACTTTTAAAATAATCCATTTCAGGATGTTTCTGATGGCAAATATTAAGCTCATCATGGTGTGATTTCCTAAGTCACATGAAGACCATAACATGTGATCCTCACCCAGGGCCTGGCCACCTAAGCAGCATAGTAGGAGCTCAACTCCAGGAAAAAAACTGAACGACTCTGGGCTTTTGCTGCATTTTCTTACTCTCTCTGATTCATGAGCATATGCAAATGGTCCTATGATTCCATAGAACCAGATAATGTTTAGTGGTCAGAGGGTCTGAAGGTCACTTTGTACAGCTCCATAATTTGGTAAGTGAAACTACGTCATTATTTCCCCCCTGAAAGGCCAGGAGTCTTGAATTTATTTAGCAAAACTTCATTCCTTTTTTTGAAATCTACCATCATATTTCAGCTCTCTTTTAACCATATAGGCTCTATCCTTTTGGGCCTGAAAATAATTTTCCTTGTTTTAGAATATACAAGCAAAGAGGGCTTAGGTAGTTGTTTATCAAGGGGGTAACTTTGGGAGGTTAAACACCTAGGTCTTTCTTACCTCTTTTAGGACCAGCTTAGGAACTGTTTCAATAAATCCTTAGAGTAACCATCAGGATGATCACCCAACCAGTTAATCAGATTTGACTATTAAAAACTTGAGTACTGCAAAATTAAACCCACTCTAAAAGGACACAGATGTCACTACTGAGAATATTTACTTACAAAATAATAATAGAATTTATTCATAGAGCTACACATCAGGTACTTTCCACGCATTGTCACAGCACCCCATTGGTACCATACTTGTTCCCATTAAATGGATGAGGATTGAGAGCATAAATAATTTATCTACATGAGGCTGAAGTTTGAACCCTAGTCTGTCAGAAACCCCAAACTGTACTCTTAGCCACTACAGTGCCACCTACTATATTCAAGGCACTGCGTTGGAATCTGTGGGGCATTCGAGAACTGGGTAACAAGAGCCTAGGTAGCTTACACAGCCTACTACATACGTAAGACAAATATTATACATGAAAGAAAATGTAACTGTCCAAGAAGACATATACCGTGTTATTTAAAGAAGCATGCTGTAAATTCTGAATCCCAGAGGAATAGGTGTTACCGAAAAATAAAGGAAGGAAGAAAGGGAGGGAGAGAGGAAGGAAAGAAGGAAGGAAGGGGAAAGAAAGAAAAAAAGGAAAGAAAAAAAGAAGTTTAAAGACATAAAGGATTATACAGTAGAAACAGCAACAAACAAAGAAGATATGGATTCTGGTTTCCAGTTACCACTTTCTAATAAGTGACCTTGGGTAGGTATACTGTAAATTTTATATAACATAGTATAATTACATCATCAGAGTAAACTTATTGCTGCCCAACATGGGAAAATAAATACATTAGAAGAGTTTAATTAGGGTTTTTTAATCTCATTGCACATATATATGTATATCATATATATATTATTTTATATTCAATGCAATGCTGTGTTCCT